ACAAGGAGGTCAACAATACACAATGGGGTCTGTCGGGGTGGGGTGCAGGGGAGGGAGAGTATTAGGACAAACACCCAATGCATGCAGGGCCTAAAACCTGGATGACGGGTTGACGGGTGCAGCAAACCACCATGGCACATGTATACCTATGTAACAAACCTGCACATTCTGCACGTGTATCCCAGAACTTAAAATAATAAATAGATAAGAATATTTACCACAGTTCAAGTTATAGATAAGAAATTCTTTTAAAGCCTGAAAATTTAAATATTTAATTTATCATAACATAGTATCTTAGTCTGTTCTGGCTGCTATAACAAAATACCTTAGACTGGATAATTTATTAACAAAAGAAATGTATTGCTCTGAAGGCTGAGAAGTCCAAGATCAAAATGCCAGAAGATTTGGTGCTAGGCAAGGGCCAATTCCTCCTAGATGTTGCCTTCTACATGTTCTCACAGGACAGAAGGGCAAAGAGGCTCCCTCTTGTATAAAGGCACTAATTCCACCCCTGAGGCTAGAACCCTCATGACCTAATCACCTCACAAAAACCCAACCTCCTAATACCATCACCTCGGAAGTTAGGTTCGAACATATGAATTTTAGGGAGAACGCAAACATTCAGACAATGGCATATACATAGAAGAGAATCACTGTGGAGCTCTTATAAATCATGTTTTGGTATAAATGTAACAATAGAATGAGTTCATGAAATAATTTAAGTGGAAAAGTAAGATATATAACTCTAGGTAAAGTATAATCACCCTATTTTATATAATGTATACAATGTATAATATATGAAATATAGGTATAGGTAATAAATACATATACATAAAATATTTCCTGGTATGTGTGTATATATATTTTTTTCCATGTGTATAATTTATACACATTAGCAAAATATGGAAAAATATGACAAATATTTAACAATGGCTATTTTTCCAGTGGCAGGATTACAGATAACTTTTATTTTCATACATTTCTGACTTTTCCGAATGTGCTGTTATGAGCACAAATTTTATAATTAAATACAAGTCGATAAGCATTTTAATGTGCCTGTAACAGCCCATCAGCAAACAAAGATGAAGTAAAAATGTGTCTGCACTTGGTACACATATTGACTTTCTTTTACTTCCATTTCCACATAATATTGACAAACATATTGCGAGAATTCGATTGATATGTGTCAGCTCAGATTTGCTATGCAAGAGCAAAGTCTTTTTTTTTTTTTTTTAAGGAATCATTTGCTGATCAGCTATAGGCTGACTTGACCCCATATTCCTACCATGATATTCCCACAATGTAGGGATGGAGAGTGGCATGACTCGCAAAACTTGGATTATGTTATTTTCTCGGGGCGATGAGAATTTGGGCAAATGATGACCAAGACAGAACTATTATCTCATCAAAGAGATCCCTCAGCAGTGTCTGTGTGCCGTGCAGTGTTCTCAGTTCAATAAAGGATTAGAACACAATCCTTCTTTGGAGGACTGTGACTCGATACTGCATCAATATCTTTCTGAGAAATATTTTTCATTTTATTCCCTCTTTAACGACTTAAGCCTTAGGAGAATTAGTTGAAAATCCAGGTCTTTTGGGTAGATACTATCATTAAGTCTTCTACTCTGTCATTTGTAATCATAAATTCCAGAACACTGCTCCTAATTTCATTGTGTATTGTTTTCTAAGAGAACGATAGACAGATTATTTATTTTTTAAACCCCTAAGCCTACCACACTTGCTGACTTCCTCACTGGTCACTAAGAAAGTCCTGACAATCTGGGCAGATCACCTGAGGTTGGGAGTTCGAGACCAGCCTTATCAACATGGAGAAATCTCGTCTCTACTAAAAAAAACAAAAAATTAGCCAGGCATGGTGGCGCACGCCTGTAATTCCAGCTACTTGGGAGGCTGAGCAGAATAATCACTTTAACCTGGGAGGCAGAGGTTGTGGTGACTTGAGATCATGCCATTGCATTCCAGCCTGGGAAACAAGAGCGAAACTTCGTCTCAAAAAAAAAAAAAAAGAAAAAGAAAGTCCTGCCAGTCAACACATAGGTGTATGTTCATTGCTTCGCCCCTCTCCAATCAGACTCATTCCTCTAGCGTTCCTGACACACGTGTGTGCACACACACACAATCACTCTAAAATGCAGCTGCTAATGGTTCACCGTCCTCACTTTTCTCTATAAATCTCAATCCTGTTGATTCCACAAATCCTAAATCAAGCAATATCATTTTATGAGTCTTTCCACAACCACTCCTTCAGTGGATCCTTCAGTTTCCATCACACCTGAAGTCTTCAGAGTATCACCCTCAGATCAAGACAAGAAACGTCCCTGGCTAGGGTTTCAGGCTTTAGAAGCCCAGATTTGACTCCTTTTGGCCATAAGACTAATGCGATATGCCCACCTGGAGCCTGTGCCCTCCCTTCTAGACCATGCTCTGGGACTCAGATCCCTTGCCCCAGATGGCCACACAATCACTTTCAGGACCATCCTCTCTGGGCAGACAACATCACAAGTATGTGCACCCCAAGTCCCGAGGCCAAGGAGACAGCTTTCTGGATATATGGGCTGAGTGTTCACATACTTTTGCATGGCCCTTCGAGACACAGGACAAGGGGGAAAGTGGGAAGAAAAGAAGTAGCCAGTGATTAGGGCCAGCTCTCCCAACTCAACTACGTTGGATCATTCTGATGATACCATTTGGTTCAAGTGCAACCCTCAAGACACTGAGCACATCCTCCAGCTAAATTGACCAGTGTTCATGGATGACCTAGGTTAGAAATATATTTCCCTATGAAGTAACACATAAAACAATCAGAAAGGGAGTTAATAAGATTAATAATAGAGTTAGTGAGCATTATGAGCTGTTTTAGAGAAAGATAATTTCTTTCAGCCCTAATAACAACATTGTGGGGGTTCATTATCTCCCTTTAAAAATTAGGAAACCAAGGTTTTGCCATGGTCTCACAGGAGGATGAGAATAGCATCTTTATGACCCCAGAGCATACTCCTCTTCACTTCACCTAGCCATGCGTCCAAACCAGACACCTTCTGGGATGTCCATGTCAACCATTTCTTAAAGAGTAACCAACAGATGGATAGTTTCCTGTTTGTGAATTAATGGTAGATGACTGACAAATTGGTTCTGAGAGTTCGTTTTGCAAAGATTGATGGTCACAGGCTGAGAAGCAGCTTTGAAAGACTACCTGCTAGCAGCATGAAGAGCTGCTCTTCCCTATCTTGGCACTAACTAGTTAATTGTTGGAGGTGGGTGCAGGGTTGGATTATGTGTATTCCTAACTGTTGGAAAGTGGGGACTGGGAGTTACAAAGACCTTTGTAATTTTGGCCTTGCAGAGCTGAGCAATTTTTAGTTGCTTTTCTTGCTGATAACACTACTTCCCTTATCTACCATGGAACACATCTTAATGAGGAATTTGCATTCATTGCATCAGGTTAATGAATATGAAACTAAATAGTGTATATCCCTCTGATGGATGGGATTTCTGAAGCACAGACATTATATACATATTTGATGATCAAGTACTAGAAGTGCAGGTCAAGCTTCCTTCTAAGGGGACTGAATCTCAAAGAGATCAGGTGACTTAGTAATGAGAGGGGGAGCTGTCTGCTCAACCAGGCTGCTCCTCCTATGGCACAAAATTCAGCTTTAAAAAATATTAAATTCAGCTGGGCGTGGCGGTTCACACCTGTAATCCCAGCACTTTGGGAGGCTGAGGCAAGAGAATTGCTTGAACCTGGGAGGCAGAGGTTGCAGTGAGCTGAGATCACACCACTGCACAACAGCCCGGGCAACAGAGCAAGACTCCACCTCAAAAAATAATAATAATAATAAATTCAAATCAAATGTGTTAGTTGTGAGTTCTGACCCTATAGGTGTGAGGGAGAGGTGGAGGATTTTGTATACAATAGAGAAAGAAACATAAATATTAGGTCTTCAATAACATAGGACTCCCTGACCCTCTCATGGGCATTCCTCTGAAGTATTTTGAGATTTATTGCTATAAAAGAGTCTCCCAAACATTATCGTACTTAGAAAAGTTAATCATTTTAATATAACTTTGTTCACAGGAGGAGGGGATTTAAGTGCACACCACTGCTTAAAGTTATCTCTTTGTTCCTAAGTTTAAGAGGACCCAGTAAATAAGAACATTCAATTTTGTCTGAATCAATAAAAATGAAAGATGACGACTTAGGCGGTGGGAATCAGAGTGGGAAAAATTTTTATATGCTCCAATATCCTGAAACACATATGACTTTATTCAATCATAAGGTAAACAAAGTATGGAATTTGCAAGGAAAAGGTAATAAGAATGGTGGTGCCAGCTTTTCATATTCCAGCTATTAATGAATTAAAGAGAAGTAGCACTCCTGAAAGGATATCATTTTTTCAAGAAAATTGGAAAAGAATGTGTGGCATTTAAAAAATACTAAACTCTGCGGCCATAATTCTCTTAAAATTCATTTGTCTAAAGAAATTAGAAGTGGATCATATTAAATAAGGCTTAGATATGTTCACTTTATCTTCCTGAAAATATAATTTCATTACAATCGGATTTATCAAATTTATCTGATTTTACTTGCTATTTAAAATACCTTATAATTTACTTGCATATTTGGAATAACAATATTCTTAATATGCTTCTTGATTTTTAACAAAGCCTAGGCCAAATGTTAATCAAATCAAGCTGTTCAAAGTTACTTTGTAGCACATTTCCTTTGAACACATCATACACACAGCAATATCTAGCAAGGGTGTCGATTTTTCTTTATTTTTAAAATCAGACCACTTAAAGAAGTTATTTACTACAAATGACTCTACACATTCGCGCGCGCGCGCGCGCTCACACACACACACACACACACACACACACACACACACACACACACACCTTTTTAAAGAAACGTTAGAACCCAACCCCCTCTAGGCAGAGGGAAAACATTACAGCTGTACAAGCACTTATGCCTGTTGCCTTAGAGTAATACGGTAGCAGCAGCAGATTACGGTACTAGCTGGGCTACTGCCTGTGTTACGTCAGCGAGAGCTGCAAAGTTCCTTGCCATTCTTTTCTGGTGTCGGGGAGCTGAATATTAAAAGGGTGATTGTAGAGTTATCGCTTATCTGTATTTTTTTTCTTTCCCTATTTTGACTCTTTTTTTTTAAATGCAGGTAAAGTGACAGAGGGCCAGGGGCTTACGGACATTGGTGGTGGAGGGGTGAGTCAGCGGGTGCAAAAGGACGAGGATTTGGTTCCTCCGAGAGACGGTCCCCTCTCCGCCTCCAGAGAAGAGGCAGGCAGTTCCCGGGACCCAAGCTGGGTCCGCCTCCCCAGCGAGCGAGCGGTTGAATCAGCAGCGGCGCTTCAAGGTGAGTGCGCGGGGCCGGCGTCCCGCAGGGCCGAGTGGGTGAGGGCAGACCTCCCCAGCCGTCTGGAGAGACGGAACCCCCACTTTTCCCAGCGCCTCCCGCTTTTCCCACTAGATTTTATACCGGCCCCCCACGCCACCTCCGAATCCCTTACACATTCTGCGAAGTTGCCTTCTACTTAACAAGTGTCCTTTTAACCCTGTGTTGATCACCCGAGGTAGGAGGAAAAGGGTTTCTGCAATGGCACGTTTTTAATACCACCTGTGAGATCTTGAACTTGCATTTTTGATTTATTATTTATTTATTTATTTGAGACAGAGTCTCACTCTGTCAACCAAGCAGGAGTGCAGTGGCACGACCTCGGCTCACTGCAACCTCCGCTTTCCCGGGTTCAAGCGATTCTCCTGCCTCAGCCTCCCAAGTAGCTGGGATTACAGGCGCGTGCCACCACACCGGCTAATTTTTGTATTTTTACTAGAGACGGGGGTTTCACCATGTTGGCCAGGCTAGTCTCGAACTCCTGACCTCGTGATCCGCCGCCTTGGCCTCCCAAAGTGGTGGGATTACAGGTGTGAGCCACCGGGCCCGGAGAACTTGCGATTTTAACAAGAGTCTTTTTGCCCTAGTCCCGCCTCAGGGCCCAATCCCAGAAGGCAAGGTGGGCTCTTTCTCACGCCCTCCGAGTTCCTGCGGTCGGTTAGCAGTTGTGGAAACCCAGGTTTCTTGTGTAGATGGTGGCCCCCAGACCAGAAAATCCAAGGCGGCCCCCACCTGCTGGTATGCCGGCTTAATGTTTAAGCCTGCAAAATCCGCAGTGACTGTCCCTTGCAAAGCTCCCTCTGCGGAGGAACGTCCTCTCCCCACATCCCCCAGCAGTCCTGCTGCGGCTGGCAGCTGGAGCCCTTCGGGTGGCCAACGGTGAGGATTGCAAAGGCATCGTGGACAGACCTGGGTCGCGTTCAGCGCTCTGGTCTCTCCCGGCTTTGCTCGGGACCTGGCTCTCAGGACTGCTTGGCTGGTGGACACACCGGCGCGCCCTGCACACCCGAGTGAGAATTCCACCGGCGTGGGCGTGAGCGTGAGTGTGCGCATGGTCCTGGCCCTGCGGTCCCTGGGTCGCAGCAGCTCCCTCTCCCAGGCCGACCCCTCCAGGTGACTGCCAGGCAACCTGTTCTAATGGACACCGAGCACATCCTCGGAATTCCCTGGCTAAATCGGTGCAACACACTCGCAACGGCAATCGCCCCTCGGTGGCTTAGGGGATTTTAATTTCGCGGTACCCACGCACGCAATCCAGCCTTTGAGCGCTGGAGCCTGGGGTTTGGAGGATTTGTTTTTGTTTGTCGCTTCGGATCCTGAACTCCAGCAGAGGTGACGCGGTAGAGCACGCGAGGCAGGTTCCCAGTGGTGTGGGCGCGAGATGCGCTCCGCAGTCGCCTCCTCTGCAGCGGGGCTAAGTGGCCTGTGGACCGCAGAGCCAGCCCTGAGCCCGGCTGGCGTCTCGCAGCCCGTTGACCTGAGCACGGTCTCTCTCCCTGGGGCGCCTAGCTCACAGCCCGCCTTTCTCTTTGCACTCTTTCAGGTGGATGCGGTCAAACGATGCCCACAGCAGCCTGGGTCTCGGCATATATTTCACATCCACGTCCCCTGCCCCGCACGCCTAGAAGCTGCAGCGAGCAAGAGCCCTCAGTGGGGCAGCTCAAAATGTAGATAACTGCGGGCCGGGAGCAGCGCCCAGATGCCATCGGTTCCTGCCTTTGAGCGTCGACGGCTGATCTGTTTGCTGGGGAGACTGGCGCTGGAGTTTTGAATTCCGAATTATGTGCAAAATGCTGAATCTTCCCCCAACCAGGACGAGTCAGACAGTGTGGAGAAGCAGACTCTCACTCTCGTAATTCTTGGATTGCATGTTGCACGGAGTCTCTCTCCTGTATCTTCTCACCCAGCCTCGGGTAGGGAGGGAGTCGGGGTCCCGGGTCAGGCCAGCCCAGCAGGTGGAGAGAGTTCCCGGCCGTCCCGCGCGCCCCTGGCCATGTCGCCTTTCATGCCCTGCCCCTTCGCGTGGCCTTCTGAGGGTTCCCAGGGCTGGCCAGGGTTGTTTCCCAACCGCGCGTGCACTCTCACCCCCAGCGAAACCCAGCTGGCAAGGCTCCCTTCAGCGGAGACCTTTTGATTCCCCGCTCCCGCTCTCCCTCCACCGCGCCAGCCCGGGGGTTGGCCCTGGAGAGCCGGACCTCTCCCGGCCCCGGCTGGGACCATGGTGTTTCTCTCCGGAAATGCTTCCGACAGCTCCAACTGCACCCAACCGCCGGCACCGGTGAACATTTCCAAGGCCATTCTGCTCGGGGTGATCTTGGGGGGCCTCATTCTTTTTGGGGTGCTGGGGAACATCCTAGTGATCCTCTCCGTGGCCTGTCACCGACACCTGCACTCAGTCACTCACTACTACATCGTCAACCTGGCGGTGGCCGACCTCCTGCTCACCTCCACGGTGCTGCCCTTCTCTGCCATCTTCGAGGTCCTAGGCTATTGGGCCTTCGGCAGGGTCTTCTGCAATATCTGGGCGGCAGTGGACGTGCTGTGCTGTACCGCGTCCATCATGGGGCTCTGCATCATCTCCATTGACCGCTACATCGGCGTGAGCTACCCGCTGCGCTACCCCACCATCGTCACCCAGAGGAGGGGTCTCATGGCTCTGCTCTGCGTCTGGGCACTCTCCCTGGTCATCTCCATCGGGCCCCTGTTCGGCTGGAGGCAGCCAGCCCCGGAGGACGAGACCATCTGCCAGATCAACGAGGAGCCGGGCTACGTGCTCTTCTCAGCGCTGGGCTCCTTCTACCTGCCGCTGACCATCATCCTGGTCATGTACTGCCGCGTCTACGTGGTGGCCAAGAGGGAGAGCCGGGGCCTCAAGTCCGGCCTCAAGACCGACAAGTCGGACTCGGAGCAAGTGACGCTCCGCATCCATCGGAAAAACGCCCCAGCAGGAGGCAGCGGGGTGGCCAGCGCCAAGACCAAGACGCACTTCTCGGTGAGGCTCCTCAAGTTCTCCCGGGAGAAGAAAGCGGCCAAAACGCTGGGCATCGTGGTGGGCTGCTTCGTCCTCTGCTGGCTGCCTTTTTTCTTAGTGATGCCCATTGGTAAGTCTTGACCACCCCTCACTTTAGCATTTGGGGGCCTTCACCCTCCTCCCCTTCTGGTACCCCAAACTCCCAGTGGGAGAGTGGAAGGATTAGCATTTCAAACAGCACAGCTCTAGGGCAATTAGACAAGTTTCCCCTGTTGAAATGTGAGTTTTCATTCTCTTTCTAGTCCACTCTTATTTATATTAGGTCCTTGAGCACTTTTTCAACTGTAAAGTGCCTTCCAACTGATGCAGATTAATTGGTCTCTTTAATAAGAATGTCAACTTTTCTTTATGCCTTTTATGCCTATAAGCACGTGTTTAATTTAAATGTATCTGCTCTCTCTATTCTCAGAGTCTCCAGCAAGTGCTTAGGCTGAGGGTGGAATACCATTTTCTCTCTGCTACAGAATGCAAATTCTCTTGGCCTGAAAATAAGTGCCATGCTTATTTGGGACAAATGCGTGATTTTATTATTGCATTAGGTTATTCATAAGGGTTTGTTTAATGGTATGTTTATATTCTATATCTGTGCTAATTTTATTTTCTGGATTCAGCATGGAAAGGATTATGGTGAGCCAGTAAGGAAAAATGATTTTATGTCCAAACCAATTTAAGCCTTAATAATTAATCTTGTTTCCAATAAGTACTTATTTTTTAATTTTAATAGTAAGTATTAAAACAAACATTTCTCTTATCCAAAATCATCCAGGAAGTTGCAGATGACACTGTTTGAAAATAATACAGTACACATAATGTTACAAATCCAATTTTTGCAGATGCTAAATTAGCTGTTGTCAAAATTAATTAGCTCGTTATAAGTATCAGCAAGCTGATCCACTTAGAATAGTATCTCCTTCAATGAGATCCCAAAATGGTTGTGTGCTATTTTTAGTTTGTAAGCTCAAATATAGACCCAAACATTGATTATCCACAAACTCTGAAAAAACAAAACATCATGGGAAGCATTAATAAAAGTCCATCTCAAGTGCTTTACGGCCTAGTTTAAATGACATGTACTTAAAGTACTTTATTTTGCAACTCTGTGGAATAATAGCAACTATTTCTTTGTACTGTTTATGTTCCAGACATTTTCCTAAGTTTTTTATTTCATTAGTCTTCTCAACAACTCAGTGAGGTATGCAGAATTATCCTGCAATCACAGGTCGTGGGAAGGGATTCTTCAGGTTCTGATACCATGACCACCAGCCCTGGATAGCTATTTAAGTGTGTGTCAAAATTAAATAAAATTAATACTCAGTTCCTCAATTCCTCAGCCCCACTGACCACCTCCTAAAGTGCTCAATAGCCACATGTGGCCAGTGACTACTGTTTTAGACAGCAGAGATACAGGTCATTTGTATCACTGCAGAAATGTCTGTCCTGAGCTGCCAAAGAGGCCCTCCTAATCCAACACCTGGCGTTCCACTGTGCCTGCCTGTCAGAATCACTAACTCTGCTCCTGGAAATACATCACAACTTTGAAATTATAAAAATTACACTCTTTACCTGAGCCCCTTTGCACATTTATTCACACATCTGCTTGCTCAACAAGTATTTGTGGACCTTTCATTCCATGCACTTTGGATGAACAGGGCAGAAACGTTCTTGCCAATGAGAAGTTTGCATTTGGAAAGGATAGCCATAAGCCAATGAATGTATCCTGAAAAATCAAGGATCAGCAAGTACTATCAAAAACTGGACAGGATGAGAAGTTAGAAAATGACAAAGACAATGAGAGCCTGCCTTAGTGGTTGGTGAGGAAAATTCTGTCTAAAGAGGTGATGTTTGAGCAGAGTCCTGACTGTACTGAAGCGCAAAGCTTGCAAGATCTAGGAAGAAGAGCTTCCTGGGCAGAGGGAACAGTGAGTACACAGATGGGAAAAAGCCTGACCTGTTCAGTGAAGATCACAGAGGTCAGTATGGCTCAACTACAGACAGGGAGGGGGCAGTCAAGTTCAAGAAGAGATTGGGGAGGTAGACAACACCAAAGTCATGTGGGGTATTTTAGGCTAAAGTAAAATTTGCATATTATTCTAATTGTGATGGGAAGTCATTCAGGGGTGTTTAGCAGGTGAGTGGCTGGTCACATTTGTATTTTTAAAGGATCATTCTGGTTGTGGGGGGGGGAGAAATGAGCTGACTGGGGACAAGAGCAGAAGCAGAGACTAGTTAAAAGGCATTGAGGAGATAGAGGTAGTGACATCTTGGACTCAGGTGGGACAGGTAGAGGTGGTAAGAAGTGATCAGATTCAGCACTTATTTTAAAGGTAGAGTTGATGAGTTTGGACAATGGTGTGAGAAAAAGGGAGGTTTAGGGCCTGAACAGCTGAGTAAATAGTAACGCATTTTACTAAGTTACAGGGTTACCAGGGGCTGCAGGGAGTGAGAAGTAGGAGTCTTTATTTTGTATACACTGTGTTGAGAAGCATTTAATAGACACAGAAGTAGCCATGCTAAGTAGGGAGTTAGATACTGTACATAGATTTGGAGCTTAGAGAGGAGGCTGGCTACAGGTATAAACTTGGGATATATCAACATCTTTAAAGCTACAGGGATGGAGATATTGACAAGAAAGAAGATAAAGAGAGGAAAGAAAGATAAGAACAGAGCATCTGGGGAATTCTGATACTTGGGGATCAGGAAAAAGAGGAGGAACAACCAGCAAACAAGATTGCAAAGCAGTAGCCAGGGAGAAGAAAAATCAAGAGAGTGCAATGTCCTCCAAGGCAGGAGTAATCAACTGTAGCACACACAGCTGAGAGGTCAGATTAGAAGAGGACTGGAAGGCAACATTGGATTTGGCAGTAAGCAGGTCCTTAGCGATAGGAGGAAGTTTTGTGAGGCTCACAGCTCCAGGGGCATGATGGAACCAAAAGCCCGACTGTGTAACTTTCTAGAAAGAACAAAGGATGAAAAAAGTGGGAACAGGGAAAATAGACAACTTTTGTGAAAGGTTTTGCTAGACAGTGGAGCTAGGAAGTGTGCTGTAGCTGGAGGGGTGTAGAGAGAGCTGTCAATGGTGGGAAGTGGGGATATGACATGATATTTGCATTCTGACGGGCATGGTGACATAGAGAGGCACTGATGGGATAGGCAAGAGAGGAGACGGGAGTCAGTGCCCAAGGGAAGCACTGGGAAGTGACAGTGAAAGCAAAGTACGTGAGCCCTGAGGCACTTAGAGATGGAGGGAGGGAGAGAGTGATCTCTTCAGGATATGTTTATGTCCTCAGCGAAATATGAAGGGAGATCATCAGCTAAGAGTGAGGCGTGAATGGGAAATGATGGCAGTTTGTGCAGCAGAGAAGGTGTGAAAGATTCATCTTTTAGAGTAAACATAGTATGGAAGTTCAGTAGAGGCACTCGGAAGTCCTGAGGCCTATTTGCGATTTATGGTCATAACATTAAAGTAGAGCAGTCAGGAGGGTTGTGTGTTTTTGTCTAACAGCTAAGTAGCTGAGGGATGCTGGAGGCATTGCTGAGGACTGACTATGAGTCTCCGAGAATGTGTTTGTGAAGAGACACAGACTCAGTCATGCTGGGGAGCATCCACAGCCAGTTGGTAGAAGGAGCCAGGGTGACGATGGGTTGCCTGGGATTTTGGAGTCTGGGTGGTGACTGAGCTATGTAGGGAGATGAGAAACAATAGCATGGGTCCTGGAGTCATCTAGGGGAGGTAGACACTCTGTCTAATCATAGCCCACTCTTGGATCTGCTCTCCCAGGGAGTCAGAAGTGTGGAGGAGAAGATGTTGTGGTGGAGAGAAGTAGGAGCCCTCAGAATCAGTTTGCTTCCTTTAAATCCTAGTAAGATGCCAGACATGGTGGCTCATGCCTGTAATCCCAGCACTTTGGGAGACAGAACAGGTGGATCACTTGAGGTCAGGAGTTTGACACCAGCCTGGCCAACATGGTGAAACCTCATCTCTACCAAAAACACAAAAATTAGCTGGGCATGGTGGTCCATGCCTGTAATCCCAGCTACTTGGTAGGCTGAGGCTGGAGAATCACTTGAATCCAGGAGAGAGGGGTTGCAGTGAGCAAAAAAAAAAAAAAAAGTGATATGACAGGAGGGAAGTAGGGAACACACAGTTCACAGGGTCTGAGTAGCTGCTCAGGTATGCAAAGGATTCCTAAACCTGTCAATCTGTGCTCCCCAATTTCCTCCTGACACAAATTGAGTAAGAGATGATTTCTTCCAAGAACGTACCGCCTGTGTGATAAGCACCAGGCTCTGAGCTACACAAAATAAAAAAAGATGAGTAAAGTACAGTGCCCTCAGGTCCTCACAGTCTAGTTAAGGAGACAATTTGTCAACAATTAATTCAAGTCTGTGAGATTGGTGCTCAGAGTGATATTACATGGTGCTCAGGATGGCGCTCAGAGTGACATTATTACAGTGCTAAGGAGTATAGCAGTGAACTGTCTGATGGTCACTGAGAAGTTTCTACAAGCATGGCCATTAACAGAGCAGAGACTTAAAGAAGATGGCACTATTTTAGCTGCGTCACCAACTAGATGTTTTAAGCTTTTTCTTTATTAACTGTCTTAAGTATGAGTTTCATGCAAAATGTGAACAGAAGAATAAATATACTATCATATTATTATACACAAGGGACATACATTCTTAAATATGATGTGCTGTTTTAGAAAGAAGAGGATGTCAGTCTGCACTAGGCTGCAGGAGAGAAAAGGGATTAAAAACTAAAACCAAAGCAGGGATGAGTGTGCTAAGCACAGCTGAGAAGTGAAACACCCATGTTTAATAGGGACTGACCCAGGAAACTCAGGTGGGTAGGCTATTTGATTGTGAAGGTCCTTCCTGTATATTGTGAGAAGTCTCATATTCCCTTTTCCCCAAGCTTACCCCCACTGAGTCCGGGTTGCTTGCTGCATTGAATAGCCTGAGTGTTGGGAGGAATCTGACTTGCCTGTTTCCAAGTCTAAATCTTGCTAGTCTTGTTCCCTTTTTGCGTCCTAAATGTTTGGTTGAAATTCAGAACCCCTTCAAGGGAGG